GAGACCCCCCAACCCCCCCACCCCCCCGCCTCCCCTTCACTAACTGTCTCACCAGGCCAGGTACGCAAAGTCCTGAGGAAGATCAATCCCCACAAAGCAGCAGGACTGGGCAACATCCCTGGGAGGCCTCTCAGGACATGTGCCAACGAGCTGGCTGATGTTCTCACCACCATCTTCAACCTCTCCCTGCACCTCACCCTCTGTGGCTGGCTCCTGGACTTTCTGACTGGCAGGCCCCAGACTGGATTGGCAATAGGACTTCAGCCAGCATCATAACAAACATCAACACCCCACAGGGATGTGTCCTCAGTCCCATACTCTACACCCTGTTCACCCACAACTGTGTCACCTCCCACAAGGATAACATCATCCTAAAGTTAACGGACGACACCACAATGATAGGACGCATCACTGGCAGGGACGAAGTAGCCTACAGGAGGGAGGTGGCTGGTCTGGTGTCATGGTGCAAGGACAATAATCTCACCCTCAACACGGATAAGAAGCTGGAGATGATAGTGGACATGAGGAAGGAGAGGAGAACTCATCAGCCACTTTTCATCCGGAGGCTCGAAGTGGAGAGGGTGAGCAGTTTCAAATACCTGGGCGTCTACATCAGTGAGGACCTTACTTGGACACTTAACACCGCACAGCTGGTCAAGAAGGCCCAATGGCGGTTGTACTTCGAGAGCATCTTGACCAGCTGCGTCACTGTCTGGTATGGCAGCACTACTGCTCTGGACTGCAAGTGCCTGCAGAGAGTGGTAAAGACTACTGAGAAGATCACCAGGACTCCACTGCCCTCTCTGCAGAGCATTTACCACTGCAGACCCCGCAGGAGAGCTGCCTCCATCCTCAAGGACCCCACCCACCCCCAGCACAGACTGTTTATGCTCCTACCCTCTGGTCAGAGGCTCAGAAGTGTAAAATGCAGGACCACTAGACTGAAAAACTCTTTCTTTCCAACTGCCATCAGATTCCTAAACAGCTGACTCAGGATCTACCTTATATAATTCCATCTGTACTGTTTACATACTCAGTTTGCACATGCATAAGCTGAGTATTTACACTCTACGGCTCCCACGTAGCATATATTCTCTTTGCATTATATTGTGTTCTTCTTATATTTTTATTTGTTCCCTTCACTTGTTGCTTTAAAGTGCCTTAGATTTGTGATTTTACTGCCTATTTAGATTTGTGTTATTGCTCATCTACTTTATATTTCACTTGTATTGTGTGGCATTCATGTGGACAGCAAAGTAAGAATTCATTGTACAGGGAACACATTATCTAACTGTGCATATGACAAATAAACACTTTGACCTTGACCTAATTTGCACATACTCACAGGATACTGCTCTGTCATTTATTTGCACACTGTACTGTACATAAGCAGATATTGTATGTTTATCCTAGCACTATTTACATCCAATGAAGTGTTGACTCATATAATCTTATTATTCTGCACTATTTCATTCATTTCATCCCATTGCACTAGTGTTTTATAAGCTTAATCTACTTTATCCATTACTTGTAATTTAAATCCATAAAGTCTGTTGTATATTTTATATTACCTTATATAACTTAGTGTAAATATCAGTTGTACATATCCATCGGTAAATTAGTTCTGACTGTACAGACTGTAGATACTGTGCACTCTGCACCGCTGTTTTTGCACTTCTGGTTAGATGCTAAACTGCATTTCATTTCCTTGTACTTGTACATGGATAATGACTAAGGTTGAATCTCATCTAATCTACTGTACATTACACAGGTGGTTTTAATGATGTGGCCGATCAGTGTATATTTTTAGTATACATACAGTAGTTTGTGCTCTGAGTACTGCATTTTTGGAAGCAACACAGTATATGTGGGTCTGAATGACAATAAACCACAGTGTTATGAAGGAGCATGTCACAGTGCAACTGTGCAGCTCACTGTATTTAGTACTTTTTGGACAACAGTGGAACTCTATGACACAGAGAGATAAGATCTGTCAGGCTTTAGAGTCACAAACAATACTTGTGAGGAAGTGTTGGTATTGTATAACTATATAGAAGAGTAGGTGCACTGAGTGTGGAACTGACCTTTCAAAGAGGTATCTGATGAGTAAGAAGGTGAAGGCATAGGGGACAGTGACATAAAGATGTGAGGCTTTGGCATAGACCCAGCCTTCTCTGTCCTCCAGGTCAGTCCATGTCAGGTTCACAGGCAGCCAGAGTCTGTCCCACCAGAACCAGTCATACAGCATGTTAAACATTCCTTCTCCCTAACAGATGCCAAGTCACACAAACATAAAAAGGATAAGGTTAAGAACTTTTTTAACATTGTAGAAATTTGTCTTCACCTTGCAGTCAGAAAACACAGAGTCTGTTCTGAGACAACACAATTTACACATGACAGCACATATACATTTACAAAATAAATAATGGATTAAATGAATATCCCTAAAATGAAATGATAATAATAAGAACCATAAAAAGAGAGGAGCTACACTTCCATAAACTAGGAGACTAAGTATTGAACATTATGACTGCATTAGGCAGAAAAGACTTAATATACACATTCCCGGTGGTTCTTACTTGTCTGTACCGTCTTTCTGAGGACAAGACCTCCAAGTGTGAGTACAATGGGTGGGAGGGGACACTTATCTATTGAGCTTTGTTTATTGAATTTGATTCATATTTCTCACTTGGCTGCAACAGCAATTTTCCTATTATTTTACTAGCCATGTTTACTATTCTCTACAAGTTTAGTCTCTTCCTGACATTCACATTTCTGAAGCACATAGGCATATTAAAAGATAAAATACTTTCCAAAGATTCTTAAACACCATTTACAATGTTTGCTTACTAACATTAAATTCATTTAGCCTCCTCAAAAAATCATCTCTGTGCGGCTTTCCTAATAATGTAGTGTCTCTATTCTCTGTAATACTGAGGTGGCCCTCAATGAACATTCCAAGGTATTTAAAGCTACTGACCATTTTTATGGAGGAACCTGTGATTATCAGTGGGTGTGGTTTGTGGTGAGTGTATTGCTGGATAACTTCTTTAGTCTTGCCAGCATTTATTTCAAGACCACTTACTACACACCGTTTCTGCAGAGAAGTCATATGATTAAAATATATGCAGTGCTTGCAATGTCCCTTGAACACAGGAGGCCAACCAAAGCCATACCACCAGCATACCCTAACAAACAAAACTCTGGATCTTGAATTCTAAATTTGTTAGTATACAGAAAGCTGATGATTCACTGACAGGTGGGGGCAGGCACAGTGAGCTGGGTCAGTTTGGAGTGGAGGATGTCTGGGATGATGGTATTGAACACTGAGCTGAACTGTGAAGTTGCACTATTAGGGTTAGTTAGAGTGCTTGTTTTTTTTAGTTGAAATATCCCCAAAATGTATCTTAATGGGGAGAGGTACTGTCAAAGGCTCCTGTGACTAAGGGTTTAGAGCAGGATTGCCCTCGCTAACCAGTCAGAGAAGGCCAATGTCAGGGGTGGGATCTCACAGCTGTCAATAAGTGAATGCGCTTCTGCTCTATTGATGTCACCATTGCTGACTTGCAGGCTAGCAAGCTTCTGATTCCAGTGTTGGCTGAGACAGCTACATGAAAAGGAAGGGGAACAAAGAGCTTTAAAGAGAAGGAAGAAAAGAAATCAACAAAACTGGACTAGATCAAGAACCTAAATCAACTAAACTGGATTAGATCAAGAACCTATATCGACACAACTTTCTGTAAATGGAGAGCTGAGATAAAAAAGGATTTACGCACTAACTGGTAAGTTGTGAATTTTTCATTGTAATACGACAACAATTCAAACCATTACTCTTTGTGCTTGTAAATTATTACCAGAATGTGTCACTTGCACTCCAAGTATGGTAGCAGTTGGTTAAGCTAAGGTTCAGTTCAATTCAATTTTGTTTGTATAGCACCAAATCACGACAAACATAATCTCAGAACACTTTACAAAGTAAGGTCTGGACCTCAGTATTATTATTATTATTATAGAGGAAAACCCCACTATGTTGTTACTATGTTGCTACTCTCAGTTATGACAATCAACACATTACATCCAAGTAAGTTCATTCAAAAGGCACCTGGCCTGCTGCAGCCGTTGAATCAGTTTGTGACCATGACCTACCAGCTGAATGTGTTTTAGTCTCCACTATCTTGGTGATTTTTTTCCCCCTAGTTTGACGCCTGCTGTCGCTGCAGTGGTGTTGCTTTGCTGTGTGCTGCTTTCTTCCATTTCTACAGTGAAGTAGCCTCGATAGTGAGTTTTATTCCATTTGAGATGTTTTCGAACAGCATGTAGCTTATATATGATTAAATAAATTTAGTGGCTAAATTGTTTTTGTGAAGTGACCATGCAAAATGTCTTCACAAAACTATTCGATGGATGTGCAGTGGAAGCCACTATGCAGTTGTGCTGTTTTTACAGTAGACATGAAGGGGGACAGTCAGCTAGGCGTGTTACACTATTTTTAATGCCCACCAGTTAAATGTGTTAGTGTCCACCGACTTGGTGAATTTTTCTCGGGATTATGGCTCTGTGTGACTGGCCTAGTGTTTAAGAGCGAGCAGGGAAGGAGGTGCTAGGTGTGTCATCTGGAAAGAGGAAAGAAGATAAGGAAACATGGTGGTCGAACGAGGAAGTACAGGACAGCATTCAGAGGAAGAGGCTAGCTAAAAAGAAGTGGGACCTAAAAAGGACTGAAGACAGTAGACAGGTTTACAAGAAATTGCAGCATAGAGTGAAGAGGGAGGTGGCAATGACCAAACAGAAAGCATATGATGAGTTGTATGCCAGGTTAGACATGAGGGAAGGTGAGAAGGACTTGTACAGATTAGTGAGACAGAGAGATAGAGATGGGAAGGATGTGCAGCAGATAAGGCCGATTAAAGACAGAGATGGAAAGGTGCTAACAAGTGATTGATTAAAACAGGGGTTTATCTATTCAGTCAGAGGCACTGAAAAACACCTTTTGTAGATGTGCTGGGACTCACACTAAGGATGATGTTGTCTGCGGTTCTTTTTACCATGCTAACTCTGAGAGACGAAGCAGTCCAAGTAACTTCAAAACAAGTGATGTGCTGCACCTCATAAGAATGCCTAAGCATTTAACAGTCTGAGCTAGACACCCTGTCTACTCTAAACATTTCTAATACACCAAGTATCTAACCAATATCTATTTGACTAAAAATACCTAACAATATCCATTAATTAATTACAAAAGATTATATTATACTGTGTAATGAAACATGAAAATATTTAACCTCAAGTTAGTTTTTATGTCAGAGATGGGCACGTGGTAATATTCTAGAAGAGACTACAGCAAGCAGACTGGACACTTAGCATAACCTTAAACATTACAACTAACTTGTCAAAGATTCAGTGATTTATATGCTGGCGACCAGCATCTGGTCCTTACAAGGAAGACAGAGTCCCAACAATGTGTCATACATGGCATAGTTTTAAGTTAAGTACGGAGTTAGTTTTTTGCTTTAATACCAATGTACTTTTGATTCTTTATCTTATCATGGCTCTTTATCATAAATTAACAGTCACACTTGGAGTACTGTGACTCAAAGACACCATTTACTGATTATGATTCTTTGAACCCTAACAATAAAAGAAGAATTTAGTGTTCTAAAGCCACATTTTAAAACCTAAAATTATGATTACAAGAACATACAACATAAATGTGATTTTCTTTACAAGTACAATCACAGAGTGATTCTGCTCTGTCTACAACTACAGTCTCATTAGAACTGACAAATAAACAAAAACAGAGAATCCCATACAGGTTGATGTATTCTGAAATTAATCAATAAATATGTTAGATGATTTGTTTCATTCCAGTTAGCCTGTTAGCATTTGCATTGGCTTATTCAGCCCAGCATTAGCCTTTCTTAGCACTATGAGCACCACTGACCACATTAATACATCTGTTTTAACTTGTTGTGCTTGGATTGTCTCTATTCTTAGCTTTTTCACTGTTGACACAGGTTTGGTTGACAGTCTAACCAGCTGGAAGGCCCCTACCAACTGAAGCCCCACAGCCCACTGAAATGCCACATAGCCTGCTCCAACTTCTGGCCACCTGCCCAGGCATCCCTGCAGCTCGCTGGGTGCCCAGCCCACTATCCTAGTCTTCCTTTGGCCATAATAAAATCTTTAAACATTCCTCCTGACTTATGTGCTGTGTCAGCATCTGGGTTCATCTGTTTACACTCCATTAAGTAGGAAAAAAATGTATCTGTGCGTGCATATTTACAAATTGAAACAACATTTTGTAGACCTCTTGCGAATGCAAATGCACATAAAGGATTGCTGTTGCTAGATAAAACTTAAACCACACAGGTAACAAAAAAAACTATATCTATATGTTTTGATAGCACAATAAATTTGTACTTGAATTGAAACTGCACTTATCATTCAGTAGTCTGTCAGTATCACTTGTTGTATCATATGTGACCTTGACGAGTCAAGAGGAGGCCAGAATAAATTTCTGCAGACCCCTCCCGTCCTGGACACAAAATGCTTAAATTCCTTCCCTCTGGCGCTTCAGGTAACTGTATGCCAAAACAACCACACACAAAGACAGTTTCATCCCCTGGGCCATCACCGTGGTGAACACTTAATCCATGTTGTCTGTACAACATAATACAGCAAACACACCATTGTGATAATTTGAAAATGAAACCATATATAATATGGATTTCTGTCAGATAACACACCATGTCTCCCAGAAAATTGCTGCAATCACAAATTCTTTGGTATTTTCATGTTTTGGTATTTTCATTGGAGCAAGACAAAAAAGCAGAGACAAAAAGCCAAATCTAATCCATTCCACACAGAACTCCAAAAATAGACTGAACAGAATTATTGACACCTTTTCAAAATAATCAGAAATAGTTGTACTTCAAACATGTGATGCTCCTTTAATTTGTAATGAAACTCACTATCAAAATCTGTGTCTACAGTACGGGTTTAATACTGTAGCAAGCACACAACAGTGTAGCAGCTAAGGTTATGGTAATCTCCAAGGGTAAACAGTAGCAACAGGCCAACAAGCTAACAACACTGGATCTTTTCTACTGCTATGAAGACAATCCCCTGTCCTAAGCACAGCTTCTGCAATATCCAGCACATGCAGGAAGTGTAGACAGAGGGTGGGTTTAGTGGGAGAACAAGTTTAGCACTATTAGCATCAGCAAAAAGAGTTTGAACAAAAGCTCATACCTGTCT